CCACGTCGACATTCTGTTCCAGCATGGGATGAAACAAAACGTCAACAACACAGAGTTTTCCAAAAAACAGAAATACCCTTTTCTGGCCAATTTTAGTCACAATCTGTATGTGTGCTGTTATTATTGCCTCTCCACAAAAATAACTGTCTCATACAGTGTCTGCTTCAATTCCACTTCAGAAGCATGGACTTAAAGACAATGAGTATTGAGGAATCAGTCCCATGATTAATCCAGTTTTTATAAATAACATACAACAAGATAAAATTCTGAGTATCTGAAAAAAGTGTTATTTTTAAGAATGCTACAGTTAAATACTGCCTTCTGCAAGACTTCTATAAAAATAGCTCTTTAATCAGCTACTTGGTCGATTCTGCTGCTTACAGTACTAATTTCACAACACTACAGACTGTAACCAGAGGGGTATTTTTCAAGGACTTTGTCTGTCATCATGCATATGGTGTTATTCTACTGATCTATTCCCTGGAGAAATAACAAAGCACCTGGATTTCTAATTACCACTATACCAACCTAATGAGTGACCAGTAATGTAGATTGTTCCCTGCTATTTGTAAAACAACCTCCTCCAACTTAAGAGATCCAGTCACCTTTTCATCTTCCTATATATCCTAACCGTATTAGAAATGTAGTTGCAAATATCACTATTGCTCTAATTAGAGGATAGAATACTAGAAGTTAAATATCTTACCTCATGCCAGTACAGTTTGGGTCTTGATAAGGATGAAGCCATAGAGTTCAGTAGATAATTCATTCTCACAGGCTCCTAATTTATTTCATGTTGCTCTACCAGCAGTTGTAGCTTTCTGCCCACTCCCACTAGATCTAGTTCAAGATCAAAGCTGATTCAACTGTCAGGTTGCTCAGGTGATTTTTTTTTTTTTTTTAAATAAGAGAATTGCATTCTACATGTACTTGATTCATACAAAATCATTTATTCAGCAAATTGTGGCAGGAGAACTGAACAGAAATGGAAACCAGTGATTAACGTTAATTTTTGTTAAAGCAGGTCAAAGGAAATCATCCTTGTTGTGCATCTATCTATTCCAGGAGTTTTCAGCCTGTTTTCATTAATAAAGGTGGCAACAAATCCAAAGTCATCTATTTTTTTAAAAAACATTGATCTCCTATCAATTTTATGCCTGTGTTGCCCTTAGTACATGATTTTGAAGAGGCCACGAAAAGACAAACACATAGTTACTTTCAACTACAAAGGCTTTCCAAGAGACATCAACACATACAGCCTCAGTTTCTTACTCAGAGTAAAAAATATTGAAGTTTCCCCGTATAGACTTTTAACCTGATGAAGCCAGCCATTTTTCTAAAGATGGCATCTTGTTTAAAGCACAAAACCAAAATTGTCGTTGTTCTTAAATAACTGCTTTTAATTTTTTAAGCCAAAGAATTTTTCTTCTCAAAGGACAGTAACAGCCTTTAATGATGTTCTACTTCCCCTCCCTTTAATTCATCCTCTCTTCAAAAGAGCTCAAGACACTTCTGGTTGCTCTGAAGTAAATTCCTGTATGCACTAAATTCATGCATTCTAATTAAAAAAAAAAATCTCACATTAACAAAGGAACACATTAAGGAAAGAGAAAATAGTGAATCCATCAAACAACAAAAATAAATGATGAATTATTAATCCTCGGCTGAAGAATTTCTAGGCCAAGACTAATGACTTATCTTTTTCAATGAAATAGTTTGTGAAGTAGAAATGCTATTTTACTACAGTTTTGGTAACACCTTACATTATATTCGACTATAAGTTAACCACTTCAGCCATCAGTTTTCCAGCATTATTTCTTACATTCATTTCAACACTTTAGGTCTTCTTGTTTTCAGGAAGTAGATGGAGGAACCTTCAGATTGAAAGGGCAGAAGATTGATTTAGAACAAATCCATAAAATAAATGGTAACCAACTGTCAGGACTGGATGTTATTCCCCAGAGTTTATAAGGAATTAAAAAAAAAGAATCATCAGATCATTAACTGTGACATCCAGAATGCTATTTAAATCAACTACAGGATTAATAGGGTGGAAAGCAGTAAGAGTGGCATGAGTTTACAAAAACAGTTGCAAGGAATGCAGGAAATTAAAGTACAGAAATCTGATCTCTGCATAGGTAAACTGTAGAATTATAGTAAAGCACAGAATTACCAAACGCAGATACGATAAAAAAGGAGAGAGTCTATGAGACTTCTGTGGAGGCAAGTAATGCTCAACCTCTCTCTCTTTAAACATATTTTTAAAGAGCTGGCAAGAAAGTGAATAAAGGAGATACTGTTAACAATGCATTTCGATTTCTACAAACCTTTCAATAAGGTTTATCATCTAAGCTATCCTGGGATATGAGAGCAGGTTATCTGATGAAGTCTGAAGGGCAGAATAAAGACTGCTTGCGCAGTAGAGAGCCATAATTATTAGAGGTTACCTTTGCTGGAACCTGTGTCATTCAATATATTCATAAACGATCTAGAAATAGCAGAATGGTAAAGAGGTTTTGGATTATTTGGAGTACTCAAAATTAAAACCAACCGTAGAGAGTTGCAGAAAAATCTTATCATCCTGTACGACTTAGGATAAAGAGGCATATCAAGTTCAGCGTTTGTAAATGCAGAACAACATACATGGGGAAAAGATGGCCTAATTATGAGTAATGGAGGGGTCTAAATTAACTCCCTCTGCCCAGAAGAGATTGAGTCATTTTGAATAGCTGCACAAAACACATTCTCAAATAGACAAAGGATTAAAAGAGTAGAAAACAAAGCATTACAATCTTTGTCTTAATCCCAGTCCACCTATATCTTGAAAACAGTTTCGAATTTTAGCTCCTCACTTAAAAAAAAAGAATAAAAGTGAACTGGAAAAAGACTGAGGCAAGTTATCAAAACTTCTGTAGAGGAAATATTAAATGAATTGGCAGAAGAATTACAAAGGAGGGATATAATAAAAATCCATCTAATCACAACAAGCATGGGAAAGGCAAATAGCGAAGGATCATTCCTTTCTCTTATTACAGAAACTCAAAGGCCATTAGCTTTGAGCTTTTTGGTAGATATTTCAAAACAAAGGGAAGTAACTTCCTCTTACAACAGTGAAACTGTGGAACTTAATGTCACAGTGTGCTGTGGAGATAAAAAGTATGAATTATCTTAAATAGGTAATTAAACAAATTCATGAAATAAAAGTCCATCAAAATGTATTAAAAACATTGATGTAAATACTAGGCATGTTTCTAAAGGCCAAGGTTGCCAGAAATTAAGGAGGAGGTATGTTACCGTATTTGATTCATTCTTGCATTCTTTCAGTGCCTGCTACCAGCCACTATCAGAGCAGATATACAGCTAGTTAACTGCAAGTACTATCTTTATGATAAAGAGGTATTTAGAAATGACAGACTTGATTTGGGTTCTCTAATTATTCCTCTCTCCCTCCTACCTCAAACTCTGCCACAGCTATTAAATTCCATCTGGAAAAAGAAATTAACATATATCTCTGCATATTTATGCCTGCACAAGAGCTATGTGCTGTCTGAGAAGTGGACCAAGCCTTTGCCCTCATGCTCTTGGATTAAATGAGTTATTTAATGAGCATATTTAGATCTGGACCCTTCAGGAGATGATCTTATGGTCAGCCATTGTCACTGAAAAGAAATACCAGAAAGAACTAAAAGTATCTTCCATACTGGCTCACCACAGTTTTCCATCCCATTCTGTTTAGAAACTCTGAGTCAGCATCTGGAGTACCTTGGGCTCTGTGGAGATGACACAGAAGCTGAAGATCAGATCCTTGAAAGTCTGAATGGGATTCTCCTGGCTCTTACTGAAGATAGCTAAGTATCACTCCAGATCACTATTTAACCATTTGCACAATCAGAAAGCATTCACTGGACGTTTTTGTCTATAGTGACAATCTGTATTACAAGAAGTGATTGCTGCTGGAACTGTAGCTGTCCTCAGCCTGTTTTGTTGTTTTCCTTTCTCTTTGTATACTCGCAAATCCACCTGTGACCAGATAAAGCTACTGGTCACTAAAACACCTGAAGCTGCAGAGAAATTCCAAATTTAATGTTCTATTTACTACAAAACAAACTCCTAGGATTAAATTGGGGTGACCCTATCGGGTCAGGAATTTAAAAAGTAGTTCCTAGTCTCCTTATAAGAAAGTTTTTAAGGTCCCTGTACATTCTCCTGAAACGACATAAACCTGCCTTTATTTGAATCTCCTGGCAGGTGGCGACTTACTACCTTAAGGACAATTAGCCATATTTTTGACAAAAAAAAAGGCTAAGGGATTTGACTGTTCTAATTGCTAGTCTAATAAAAGATATTGTGCCTACCTACAAACTTAATTGCTAGGCCGTACCTCAGGAATAGAATCTTAATCCCTGACTTCCCATGCCTTATGCAAACAACCTTTTATAGTCAGAGAAGATGAAACTGCTTTCCCCTTTGCTTTGCTACCTGTGCATCAATTCAGCATGAAGCAGAATAATCAGCTGGATTACACTTGCTGAAATTCAAGCAGATGACTGTTCCTATATATTTAGGCTGAGACAGCCTTTAAGTTCCTTGTTAAATCAGAACCTTGGATCCCACAGATATCCACTCAGAACTCTAGGAAACAAAGCAACATGTAAACAAACAGTTGCAAACCTACTGCACATATTTTTAACACTCTTATCATTACAGAGCAGAGCTCCTTCAGCCTACTCCGAGAGAGTGGGATCTTCCTAACTTTGGCAAAAATCCTGAAGGGCAATCCACGATGTGCAGTGAAAGCAGCCCAGGTGCTTTCAGAGATAGCCAAGAATGGTATGTTGTACTAAAGCATTACTACGAGGCATATTACAGCACATTAGCTGTATGTTTCCACTCTCGAGTTTTGTTTCATGGCTACCAGCTGTTGGTCTTGCAGTTGCAATTGTTTTATTTCAACATGGCAAAAACCCCACAAGTCCCTCTCCTTTACCTACACAGAAGAAATGAAGAAACCGTGTATTGAAGCAGATTTGGTTCTAACTTTGATACCTTTGCTGGAGAGCACGGACCAAGAAATGTTGCTTCATGCTGGGAGGGCTATTGGCCGTATCTGTTATGATAATCGTAAGTATCGACTTGAGAGAATCTTATTTTCCTTAGCTGTAAGGCATTATTTTATAAGGCACTGTAACCTGTAACTCATAATAATTTTTTTATGAGACCTGAGCACACAATGTACTTCAGCCTCCAGTTAGATATACAATCCACACAGCTCACAGACACCACGCTGAATGCATCCCAAACACCTCCTAAACACTGGGTTTCCCCCTATATTTTTGACTTCAAGGCGACACATCTTTGTCAGAACTTCTCTGCAACTACAAGAGTAGCAGAGCCTCACACATATCTTAGTCAATTTTGTAAAACTGCCTTGGGCCCAAATACTGAATGACTTCATCTTCTTCCAAAGTAATAACAGCGTCTATAAAGCAAAGCACTTATTTAAAAAGTGTGTCAGGAAAAAAAAAGTACTCTAAGAAATAAAAAATACTGAGATATCTCTCTATGCAAGGAATGGTCTTCTCTGAGGACCATTCCTTGCATATAGGAGATCTTTGTGCTCCAGATTTTTCCATAAAGCCAGTACACTAGCTTGCCTGCTGGTCTCACGAATGAAACCCTTTTCATTTACTTGCCCCAACAGTTTAAGATTTTTCTTTTACCTTTAATTCCCAGTCTGACCGAAAATATTTATTGCATACTGGAGGCAACATGGAACTTTTCACCCAGTATCTTCTATCCATTTCCCTCTGCCTTCAACCTACCTTCTCTTATCTTTCCAGTGTGGACCTGTGTAGCTTTATCTAGAAAGCTATGGGTTTGCCTCCCTGCACTGGTCCTAAGGAATCCAAGCATGATAGGTACCTGGTATAGATTCTGCTAGCCCCCTGCAAATTAGATGTATTTGCCAAGGAATGCCACGTAATAGTTTAAAAAAACCCTTCCCCATATGATTACATGCAAGGTGCATGCAACTACTATACACCAGCATTACCACAGCATATGGCCATACTGCAAATCTGCTTCACTTCCGTCAGAACACAGGCCCAGCATAGATTTGACAAGATGACTGTAAGATATATGCTTTACTAATTTCTATTACTAACACAGCAATACATACATCATAGAAAAATTAATTTCAGTGATTCCCTGATTGAATTACAATTGTATATGCTACAATAGCACCCAGACACTTTCTGGTGTCTGTCATACATGCAGTCAGCCAAGTTGCAGTCTAGCTCTCAGCAAGACACTGCTGCAAAAGCAGTGTTATTGTACTGTTAAGCAACCATCACTTGCATTTCATAGTTCTTGGCATTCTCAAAATCATTTTAGATATTAAGCTTTCATTCATTATAAGACAAACTACAAAAATAAAGAAAACAGCAGTGTTTTCCTCAGCAATTCTGCGTGTGGATAGAGACAACTGTAGTTAGTATACTAAAACCAGGACCAAATTAATTTTTGCTTACCGTACTTTGTTGACTTCCCTTAAGTCACATGAATTTACACCTGCTTGAGAACCTTACTCAGCCTATAAAAATTCCAAAGACACCTTGAGTTCAAGCACTCCAAGACTCCCTACGTGCTGAGCAACTGACATTCAAAGAACTGGAAGAGGATGATTCCCCTAGATGAACTTTAAAGTGGTCTGTCTCAATGGTATCTTATAACAGCCCAGGTATTGGTGAAGTGTCTTGTTTCACAAAGAATTATTTTTTTGAAGAAACAAAAAAGAATCATTATTCTAACATGGAAAAAGCAGGTATATGGACATTTGCTATATGAGCCAGAACACTGTCGGTCCCTGAAAGCAGAGTCGTCACTAGACTATGCTTTATCTTGGGTTTCCAGTCCCTTCCATCTCCCTGCCCTTCAGAACAAAAGCAGCCATAGGATTTAAGGCTGAGATTCCCATTCCCTGAGAGAAATAAGCCAACTTATTGAGTGTTCCTCACTCAATTTTCAGATACATACCATCTGTTCCTCACTCAATTTTCAGATACATACCAAGAGATACAGTCCATCAGAACTCGCTTTAGAAGCTGCACTACTAGTAGAGGTGCTCATGCAATTGCCCTTATATATTTTTACAATGGCTTAATTCCTCGAGTCAAAGTAGAACCAGGAGGTTTAGCAAAACTCTGTCCTGAACCTGCATTTCCCAAATGCACGCGTTAGCCTGAACCCACAGCACAAAAGCTGTACAAATTCTAACAGTGTGAGAAAGAATCAGATTATCTTGCTGCAAAGCATCTCAGTTGGACCCTTTTTACTGATTTAATTGATCCCTATTTAATCACCTTTAACTTCTATGCTTACTATTACCAGGGGATCTTCAGGAAGAGCTGGTGAAGGTAGGAGTAATCACATCACTAGTCCGAATATTAACTGATTATGCAGAGAGTGAACCACTTGTCCATGTTGATCTATTGGCCTTATGCAATCTTGCAGACCTTGGTAAGTAAATGTTTTTGTATCTTGGAGTAAAGTATCATCTTCACGCTATCACTGCTTTTCCATGTACATGCAGAACGCCCACAGGTTTTTTAGACAGTCATACTACAGACGGATTTATAAGTGTCAGTGGAATTAAGCCAAGATTAATTTGGCAGCTATTACAAGGCCACAGCTACAAGAATTACACAAAAATAGTGTTAAAGAAAGAAGTGCGGGGGCGGGGAGAAGGGATGGAGTAGAGTTTTGCTGTCTCTGCTATCCAAAGGGACAGAAGCATCTATAAAAACAGAAAAAGCATTCAAAAAGAGGTATGCCTTTAACATTTAATCAGATAAAGAAACATTCAAAATGCTGGCTTTATCATATCCACAGATACAGCCAAGGAAGCTCTAAGCAAGACAAAGGTTGCTGAACAGCTGGTGAAACAACTGAGAAGAGCAGAGAGCCATGAGAGGTTAGAAATTGTCTTTGAGGTCCTGCAAGCACTTGCAGAAAATGGTAAGACTCCTTGCAGCTTTGGGGAATGAGGGGAGACAGGGTACGGGTACTTAGTTTAAGCTCTGGGTTCTGAGTTTGCCATGGGATCCTACTAATGGAACCAGCAATCCCTTCAGTGGAAATAAGCCACAAGAACATCTGAAATCCTGGCCTGAGCAAGACTTTGGAGCTTAATAGGTGAGGCAACAAAGAAAGGAGGGAGAGAGTAGCATTCCACTCTATTTCCGTGACTCCATAAGACAGCAGATTCAAACTCATATTCTCCATGGTGTGTAACAGAAAAGCAGACTAAACAGATTGTTTTTTATTTAAAAAATGACAACCAAATATCATAGAAGATGTCTACTCTAAGCAGTGGTGTAACAAGCACTGACAAGAATCCACTAAAAATATCTAGACACCTGATACAGATTTTAAAGAAATGAACTTAAACTCATGACTGGCAATACAAGAAATGTCAAAGATCAATGCAGAAGCTTTGCTCACTCTGCCTTGGTGTCATCCTAGCACCAGAATGTCTGTTACAAACAAAACCAAAAAAGTTACTGCACCTGAAAAAAGACTGGCTAAACTTCAAGGTTTTAGCTTCCTAGTTTGAAACACTTCCACAAAGACACAAGAAGCTTTTAGTGTGCTTTTTACTGTGATCTCTACAGATGCTCTGAAAGTGCAGTTGGTGGAGGCAGGCGTGCAAGAGGTGCTGTCCGAGATCCTGCTGAGGCTCCAGGGTAGTTCACAAGCTGAAGATACATGCATTTTGAAGGCTGCATCAGATCTCATTGTCTCTCTGCTTCTTGGAGGTAAAAAAGGGAATACTGACAGTCCAGATACATAAAGAAACAACATCAAAAAGTCCCCTTAGCAGAGGAGTTGCCATCTGCTCTGTTGCTTTCATTTCCTTAACAGGGACACATCTATAACCTGTTTCATAATCCTTAGGGGAACTCTTCTCAGACACCACAATTTTTCACTTTTTATAGGAGCCTACTGCTCACACTGCCATGCTTCCCTTCAAGCATAACATGTGTTGCCTCAAGTCATCTAATACCACTGTGACTGCTCCTGCGCAGAACACAAAAGCAAGCGTAAGAACTTCAGGCCACTGTAGCTGTACCCATGGCTGTCAGTTCACACGCTGCTTCTGTAACTTTACTTTCAAAGCTGGCCTAAGAGCCAGTTTTAAATTTAAAGCTAATCATCAGATTAAGTTCACATGGTATTGAACTACTCATGTTTCCTCATTCACTATTCCAAATCTGTGTACATACTTCGAACATTTGGATTAACAAATGAAATGTAAGAACTTTCCTGTAATGGAAGTTCTGCATCTATCTATTAGGAACAGACTACACACATTGCTGACCTAGATTTTTCACTAAGTCTTTAAGCTGATTTCAAGAACAACACAAAAAGGCTAAAGACCTAACAGCAACGTAGTTTAGGTGGCCCTGCTATGTTGTATTTTGGGCAATACAGATTAAAGAATAAAACATCAAGAACTGGACACTTATACTGCATCCCACCACCCCCAATCCCAAAGCAACCAACAATTTAAAGGTCTTAAATTATTAACTATAACAACAATCTTTAAGTCATCATTGATTCAAATCTCCCCAAACAACAGTTCACTTCAGGGCTAATTATAAACAGACATGAGATGTTCTCTCTATTTATCACGCCACAGATAAGTACATGCAGAAGTTTTTTTGCTAAGGGATGTGGCATCATCTCCCAGAACATTAGTACTTGCATCACATCTAAACACGTGCAGCTACTGAGACAGGAGCAACAGCTATTGCTAATTTTACAAAAAACGGTAAGGTTGCTTATCCTCTACACTTCAAAGATAGAAAGCCACTGTTTGTGAGTGGAGAGAAAACCAACACTATTAGATTTCATTGCTCCCTGGCTCTGAAACAGTAACATTCTTGCTTTTCTGCAGACTGGAGACTTGCATACCTTTAAGTTACAGATGCTAATGATATTGAAGTAGTTTCAGAGACACAATTGTGAAAAATGGGGTGGTCAGGCATGCAAGCTTTCGTGCTTTTTTTTCCCCCCTAAATCACACATTATTAGAGGGGAGACTCTGGAAATGTTTCATGGCAAATACATTTGTTAGAAATATAAAAAAAATAACATACTGTTATTGATGTTTTAGGTTTTAAGTCACTTTTAGGAAGGGAGGGTTACTCAGACACATCAGGGGGAAAAATAAGTCTCAAGATAAGCCATTTTATATTTCACACTTTCCTATTACAGAAAGCAATGAACCTTAATACTATACAGAGAAACACAGAGACTCTTATAAACAGACTCCTGGAAGGCATGCTGTGCTGAATCAGTCAGCAGAAGATACCCCACCACATTTTCTGTCCTTTCTCACTGATAGCTACTGTACAGGGTTCAAACTCAATTAACAAAAAGGAGCTTTTTTCCAACATTGCTCAACTTTCTGCATTAATATGTGCTTAATTATCACAAAAGATTCCCTCGCATCTGTCTGAATGTTTAGCTAGTCAGTCTCATCTGGTTTGGGTTTGTTTTTTGTTTTTTTTTTTAAAAGCAAGCTATCATACACACATCTCTCCATCTCCCCCCCACAGCCTTTCTAGGCTCCCTTTCTTCCTTGTCTTATACCTTGCTCTGAATCAGCCATTGTACATCACGGTTCTACAAAGGCCACAGAAATGCCCTTGGTGCCTTTAAACTGGCTATCTTCAATTTATTCAGCTGAATGGCTTACTTTGTCACTCACTCTTCTCCCTCCATCTCCCCCACAACCCCATTAGATGTTTCATGTGGAAAAAGTGAGTAATCCCTTTCAGGCCCCAGTATGTGCCACTGATGTATGCACAGCCTTTAATCTAAGAGAAAAAAAAATCCTATGGAAATCTGATCTCAGCATCAAATGACTTCTGAGGCAGTGAAAAGATGACAGACAGCTTTTGCAACTATGAAAGTGGCTGTTCGTATCAGACTTTAACTATGAGCCATTAAATTGAAGGTTCTGCTGCTATCCAAACAGAAATCCATAGGAGAGAGAACCAATTCGGAGCTCTGTGACAATCAAAGCAAGGCAACCACTAATGGGTTCTGCCTATTCGCACTTTACTACAAGAGAAAAAAGTGCTCTGCCATTCTTTGGTTTGAAAGGTGGGGGGAGGAGAGAAATTAAGTTCAATGAAGGTTAGTCTATATGAAGATCAAAGTATTTTGCCTGTAGAATTTTGTCAGACCAAAAGAGATGGTCTGTTCCTAGAGAACCTATTCCTAAAGAGAACTGGGCAATTTTCCTTATATATTCTGATCTCCAAAGATTAGGACCAGGCAAGAGAACATTGGAAGAATCACAAGCAAAAATATCAGCTTTAGAGAACGTATGCATAAATTGGTATCAAAAGATTTCTGCATGAGTAGAATTCAAGCTATTTCACAGACTGACAGTTTTTTTATGAAAATATCCACTTACATTTCATAAGCATTTGACAAATTCTTATTTAACATATTTAGTAATACAGGGGAAAAAATATGCTACTAACTGAAATGCTACGAGATTAAAGGAATAGTGGGCATTGGTTCAAAAGACAACATGGAGGAGTTTCTGCTACTTTGGGGTGGAAATAACATTCAAACCAGCAAAGGTATTAAAATTACTAGAGCCATTTTAAAGTAGTATACACACAAAAATTAGAAGTCTGTACATCTTAGGCATGCAGTTAGTACCATGAGAAGCACCTAAAGCTACTTTTGGCCAGATTCTGTATTTGTATGAAGTCTGTACAGTTCCACAGATAACTGTTTACCCCAGGTGAAGATGTGGTCTTCCTATATAGCGTTCACACTGTTCTGCCACGTTTAAACAAACAGCATTCACATGGTAACAGCACAGCAATAAGGAAATGTTGACTGGTGTCAGGAATATGCTTCTCCTGAGGTATAATAAACTGCATAAAATAAAATACAGAAAAATATTTGCCAAACAGCATCTTCAAAACACTTCCTTCAGGAAGGATGCAAGACCGTAATATGCAGGGTTTCCTTTTGCTCTTTAGGAGAACACTTTCTCATTTCCTATTAAGGTGAGCTAAGGAGCTTCTGATAACAAAAGGGCTGTCACCTCTACAGAGCAAGTTCTCAAAGAGAGGGAGACACACAGACATGCACTGACAAAATATTGCAGAGCACGTACTGGGCAAAATGGTAGTTCTTTAGAATGTACAAATCTGCTCTTTCACCAGTGTTAAACATATCGAACTCTCTAGGTCAACTCATATTTTCCTAGCTTCATATGAGTGCAACACAATTGGACTTCTCATTTCAAAAAGTGGGTTTCTCAAAACAGGTAAGAAAAACCTAGGCCTGACTGATGATTAGTTAATGACAAATTATTTGACTGAATACAAGGAGTAACAGCAGCACAACACTAGTAATCAGACTCACCATTGCTGGATAAGATCCCTGGTCTCACAGTAGTCTCTTAAACCAGCAGAATAGCAAAATTGAAGTATTAAAGCTACCCTGTGGAGAAATGGAAAATGCCACCAGTATTCCACCACATATATAGTGGAAAATAAAGCAGTATTGAGGAAGAAATCGACTGGAGGACATACGGTTTTGACTTTGACAGTGACTGTCCCTAGAAAGTTCTCTCAAGCTAAGCTTTACTAGAGGACATCTCAGCATCAGATCACAGGTGGCTGATGCCCACTTATCTCTAGAGAGTTGAAGGTTGTAAAAAACAACGCAAAAGCTACAGTCTCAATCTTATCAAGACATGAAAACAGTCAAGGCAAAGACTCCCTGAATTCTCAATTTGCATGATTAATTTCCATCATTGTATTTCTTATCTCCCTCACCTGCTTGGTTTTGCCTCTTTCTTCAGATGGCAACTGTGTACGAATGGTACAGCTAGGAGTCATACATCAGCTTCTGGATCTTTTGGAGAAACACGTAGAGAGTGGGGACATCTCTGTTCAACATGCTGCACTCAGTGCACTTCGAAACCTTGCTATACCAGGTACAGAGTTTGAAGACAATTGACTTACTGTGATTCTTTGTAAAGATAGGTCATTTAATGGAGATCTCTGCAGCTCTGTCCAAGTCACCAATTCCAGTCCCTTGTATTTTGAGGGGGAATTGACCTTTTCCCCCCACTGTAGAGACATATATATTTGAATAATTCATCAGGACTTCTCATCTACATAAAGGGTCTAAATATAATAAAGTGTGATCTCATTGCCAGCTACTGAAATGGTTTCATATTAACAGCATGCAGCAGTTCAAGACAAAAAATGCAGAACAGGGTTTATAGCTTAAAATACAGAGTATGGGGTGGAACTATCACATCACAGCTGGTAGGGATTTCATAAATCTGTTCCTCTTCTATAAAGCCAATATTCATTGCAAATTCAGCCTTTATAACACACTTAAAAACTACAATACTTAAAAGGGGCATATAAGAAAGATGGGGACAGACTTTTAGCAGGGCCTGTTGCAACAGGACAAGGGATAAGGGTTTTAAACTAAAAGAGGGCAGATTCAGACTAGATATAAGGAAGAAATTGT